GATGAGGAAGTCCGTATGTGTGTTCCAATTAAGGTCCTCGTTGATATAAACACCGAGGTATTTAAAATTAGAGACTTTCTCCACAGGGTTTCCATTGATCTAAAACGAAATAAAAGCACAGTCGTCGCAGAGCTGCCAGGGCGGCAGCCGAACTCAACGGCGCCATCTTTCTTGTTCAGTTCAGAGAAATCATTAAAAGCTCCAAATTGCCATGACATTCATGCACATGATGAATAAATGACACACATATTTAGGTCAGTCCCACCCTTTTGAAAACACTTACCTTTTTACATACTCTTAAGGTAAGAGGACCTTTTCCCCCATTATGTTGGTAATGGGGAAAACCACAACCAATACAGCTTTCGTTCTCACAATATCATACAATTGATTGTCCCAAAAATCAGAACAGAATTGGGGGAAAAGGCTTTTAAAACGCTGCCCCTGCTTCCTGGAATAATCTGCAGAAGGAAATGAAATGATCAGAATTGGTTACCTTGGGAGAGTTGAAGTCTGTCTTAAAGGAACGAGAGAATAACTCTTTTACTCAGTGTGATAGTTTTTAATGTACTCTTAATTTGATCTGTTATTGTATATTTTACACATGTTGGTATGGGATATTGTATTTGTTTTTAATGCTATATACTTACGTGGTAAATGTATTTTGACTTTTGTTGCCATGATGCCAGGTCTCTCTTGGAAATGAGATTTTTAATCTCAATGAGTTTTTTTTTTTACCTGGATAAATAAAGGACTAATAAAAAATAAATAAATGTTTAGCCCTACAAATCCACCGTACCCACAGGTCAACTACTTTTAAATCTTATTTACTGGAGAAATATTGTGTTTCAGAATTCCACTCTCCCATTATAAAGAGAACTCAAAATCGATCTTTACAGATGGAGACATCTCATAAGTATGTTTCGCACATCTCTCTTGGTGTCATTTACAAGCACATAAAGCTATAATAGACATACATGTATAAATATAGGACACACGTGTCACTGCACACCAAACAGTTGCACTCACCTTTTTCAATCTACGTGCATGCGTCTCCTGTATAGTGTGTCTGTGTGAGAGTGTTGTTTTCCAGGCCCTGAAAGGTAATGGAAGCCTCTCGCAGGCAGGAATTTTAAGTGTGTGGTCAGTCAGTGCAGCCACTTTGCCCATTCCCACAGCTAGTGTAAAGTGTCTTTTGAGCTGGGGGTGGGTTTTCTGTGTGTGTGTGTGTGTGTGTGTGTTCATCCTATCATACTTTGGTCATCCCGTTGCTGAACCTGAGATCAGAATGTTCCAGTGTGGTATTTGGAGTTCCCTTACAACAAATGGTGCCTTTGTGATAGTAAATCACACGGGCCTTTTGTGAGCAATATAAAAATGAGGCTAATAGGACAAGTGCTGCTTGAAATGAGACATCATATTGTGATTAGTATATTTTTCGTATGTATGTCACAGTGAAAGGCTGTGTCAATCATCAGTTATTTAGTAATCGAGCTGTTTTTCATTTTGCTGTCTGGATTTTCTTTATGTGTCTGTGTCTCTCCACATGCAACGGTTTAAAAGTTTAATGTGGGCAGCTAAGTGTTTATATTGGAGTTTTTCCAAGGTGAGTGTGAACAGGAGGTGCAGCTAATGTTAAAATAATGTCCTGCAGCCTGGTATTGTAAGCAGGTAGTCTTTGCATCTTTAAATAAAAATCACAAAATGCTACTCTCCTGTTCAAACATATAATGATGAGTGAAAAAAAGCATTGCTGGTGTGGATGAATGGCAGTTAAAATTACATATGAGTCAAAACCATTTAGTGTCACTAAAATAGTGTATTTTAGACAGTAACCTGCTACCAATAAAATGATAAAATGATATTTGTGTAATATTTTAACATAAACATGGTAATATGATGACATTAATGCAGTAATAAACCAATAGCAATGAGGGAAAATGGGTTGATGGGTTTCAGATTTTATGCTTCCATCAACCTAATACCAAGAATTAAACTGTAAGCAAGACTTACAAAAACTCACAATGTTAGACAAAAAGTTATGTCTTCAAACCTT